TTTGGTCGGAGCCCCCCCCCCCTTTAAAATTTTCGATTTTCCGGGATTTTCAGAAATTCTCGAATTTCAAAAATTGTTGAATTTCTTCAATAAAAATGTTGTTATTTTTCAGAATCCCCGACATTCCAAGAATCGTCCCACAACCCATTGCTCATGTTATGGAGCGTTTCGCGTATGTGCCCATTTGGAAGCTTCGTCAGAAGAGAAAGAAGGATCCAGAAGACATCGTTTGAGATTTCTACGACTTATGATTTTTTTTCAATGGTTGCTCTCAAATTTTCTTGTGATTTTTTAAATTTTTGGCAACATTTTCTTTATTTTTCGACATTTTTTCTCAAATAAATACTACAATACAAAACTTTATTCGAAATCGAGTAAAATTAAAATTAAAGAAATCACAAATACAAGAAAAATATACATAAATTTCGACTGCAGGAATTTTAGAAAAGAGGAAAAATTTAAAAGAAAAAGGGAATAAATTTTAATACTGCACAAGAATTCAAGCTTCGGAACGTATTTTTAAAAAATTAAAGAAAATTCTGGAATTTTTTGGAAAATGAATGAAGAAAACGAGATATTCCGTTGGTTAGCTGGTGACTGTGATAGTGCCTGAAAAGTTAGAAAATCTGTGACATTTAGTGCTCAAAATCTGAAAATATGAAAATTTCATTTTTTGAAATTCTCGAATTCCGGGATTTCTTGAAAAAAATGTTCCAGTTTTTTTGCAATTCTAGGGATTTTCGAATTTTCGATCTGTCTCAAAAACTCCAATTTCTCGAAAATTTCAAAAATAAACAAATTCGAAAGTTTCGAAATCTTCAAAAGTTAGAAATTTTGAGAAATCCCTGAAATTCTAAAATTACCAAAATTGCAAAAGTTCGAAATTTTCAAAAATCTTGAAAATCGAAAAATCGAATAAGTCTAAAAAATCGGAATTTACAAAAATCAGAAGTTTGCGAAAATCAGAAAATTTTAAAAAAATCCCAAAAATTTCGAAAATTCGGAATTTACAAAATGTTCTTATTTTCCGAAAGTCATGAATATACTTTTTTTGTGATTTTCGAGAATTTCGAAATTTCGAGACTTTTGAAAATTTCAATTTTTAAGATTTTTAAAATTTTCAAAACTTCAAGATTTTTGAAAATTTCGAGTATCCGAGAAGTTTTAAGAGTTTCGAATTTTTCGGAATTTTCAGGTTTTTGAAAATTTCATAAACTTTCAACTTTTTTAGAAATTCGAAAATTTCAATTTTTAATGATTTTGGAAAGTTTCGAATTTTGGGGACTTTTTAGATATTCGGATTTTTGAGATATTGGAAAATACCGAATTTTCGTAATTTTCAAAAATTTCCATTTTTCGGGATTCCTCGAAATATTCGAGCATTAGAATTCTCGAGAATTTCGAATTTCGGCACCCCACTATTTCGAAAATTCCTTTCCCATACCATTTTCCTTATTCTCCTCAGCTTGTTTCGCGGCCGCCTCCGCTTCAGCCGCTTCTTTGGCTTTGCGCTCTTCCTCTTCTGAAAAAATCGATAATTGATTGAGCCCCCTTTCAATTTCCCACCTTTCGCGGCTCTCTCCTTCCAATGCGCCTTGTTCTCATGCAAGAACTTCATCCATGGCGTTGGTATATCCAATTTTCCAGCGTAATTCAACGGAATCTTGCGGATCGATGAGTTTGGAGACGTCGACGAATTCCGTCTGGAACTGTACGTCAACGATTGGTCTTTTGTTGAATCAGGTTAGAACATAGTTTGAAAATTAGATGGCGTTGTAAGTGCGCTCTAGCCAAAAGTTTTGGTTTACTAGCAGTTTCATCTCTACAGTTTCTATAAGCTTTAGAGGTTGCGCACTTGCACTAAAGATAGGAATTCTAACAAACGTGCTCCACTGAACTGGAGCGCGCGCATGCAAATCGATAGAAAAAACAAACAGATCGGGCAGTGGACTCAACGCATTCGATGGCGATTTATCATCGCCTCCATCAACACTTGGCGGGAACAAAGAATCCGTTGGAGGCAGCGAGACAAGTGGCTCAACCTGAAAGGATTCTCATTGGAGCGAGTTTGCTTATTCAAGAAGCTTTCACCATTTTAACCAAAAGCTCTCCACAAACGACCATTGTTGGTTCAACGATAAAATCAATGAATCCAATCTGACTGTCTGCCACGTGTACAGTATGTCGGTCGCATAGTGGGGAGTACGGTAGACCCATAGAGGCTTCGAGGTCTCCTTGACGGAAGAATTCTTCGAGAACTCCTTCGGTCCAACGTTCGTGAAGATTCCATGGTTTGGCTGGGTGGGAAATATCACAAGCGTGGACGATGAGGCAGAGGGCCTTGTTCTTGTCGATTCTGGAAGTTTAACCATAATATCATAAACATTTTATCAATTGGGCGCCTCTCACATCAACCGAGATAAATCAGATCAAAGATAAAGTTCCGATCTATTACAGGTTTGAAGATTTGGTAACTTTGAGTCAAAATTTCTCATTTCCTGTGAGAGATATCAAGAAGTGGTCAACTGACAAAATGTTAATCATAATGTCAAAAATATTTTATTAGTTGACCACTTTTTGATAACTCTCACAGTAACCGAGGTGAATACGGTCGTAGTTAATCTACCCTAGTCTACCTGGTCGACCACTTGCCGGCTCATCTCGGCGCATAACTTTCTCCTACAGTTTCATGATCCCTGGTTCGAAAATCGGCTATCCAAAAAAAGTGAATTTAGTATCGTTTGGTAGATCTTTTCAAGTTCTACATTTTACTTTTTATTTTAAACAGAAATTATAACGTTGAGCCGAGTTATGCCCCAGACAGTGGTCGCCACTGGTTGAGAAGGAGGTTGACCCCTAGTTGTCAACTACGCCTTTTATTTGACTGCTAACCTTTTTAAGGATTGGATACATTTTGTCAAAAACAACATTTTGTAGCACTGGTCAATTTATATCTTTTCTATCTTACTTGGTTCAAAAATATTGATTTTGAGAGAAGCTATGAGGGTTGATAAGTATGGATTGCATTAGGACAATCAACTTTGAGCCAGTTTTGCTGGATTACTGTAATAGATATAAAAAAAACTGCCAACTGATAAAACATTGGTAATATTCAGACAGATTTTTTTTTCAGCTCACAACGTTTTGATATCTTTTACGGAAATCGAGAAAAATTGGCTTGAAGTTTGATGAACTGCACTCTACCGTATTTCCTCTAACATCGTAAGTTTTGAGCTCAATTATCTAGATTCCTGTAAGAGATATGGAAATTTTGTTAACTAATAAAATATTAGAGATGTTATGATAAACGATTTATCAGCTGACAAATTTTTGATATCTCTTATAGGAACCAAGATAATCTAGCTCAAAATAAGGTGGGCTTTTTTAGTGCTGAAAATCCGAATTCCCAAAGCTTACCCTTCTGGAAGACTCAACATGGACTTCATTGTTTTAATTTGCATGAAATGAGTGCTCATATCAGTTGCCAACACAATCTCAATGACCATATTCCTCAATTCCTTGTATTCATCTCTTGTCAAATGGGTCAGAATATTCTTATCGTCTTCTTTCATCAAACGGAAACAACTCGAAACGTGATGATTCTCCAGAACACTTCTGTCATTGTAAAGCATCGCAAATTGAGATTGAGATTGGATATGGAAGTTGTTTGTGTGTCCGGTGTGCTCGTAGTCATGGATCAGAGCACCGAAGAGCACGGCGAGGAGCTCAAGGTCTCCGAGAGAGTTCTGAAAATTTCTGCTTTTTGGAAATTTTGAAATTTTTGGATTTCCGAATTTTTGATTTTGAAATTTTCGAATTTATGATTTTCTGATTCTCGAAAATTCGAAACATTTTACTTTTAAAATTATTGGAAGAGCAGCTTTATGGAAGAGCACCCTTTGATCCAATTCATCTTAGTTACTGTAAAAGAAATCATAAAGTAGTAAACTGACAAAATATAGCCGATTTGATGATAAACATTTCATCCGTTGAACACTTTTTGATATCTTTCACAAGAAATGAGATAAATTGGCTCAAAGTCAAAGGCCCACTCAATTACAGGCCATATGGTATGCTAGGGTTTTAAGGCTTGATAAAGCTATGCTCTAACCAAAATCCGAAAATTTGAACTTACCGCCAAACCAGTCTGTGACAACATGAAATGCGAGCTCTGTGTAACATCAGCAGCATGAACCACATTATGATATGGATTGTTATGTTTCGAATAACCAACTTCCAGTGCCGACAAATAGTTCTCCAACGCAGTCAACGGAACCTTGAATCGATCCATGAATCCATATCGATTGAATAACTCGAATCCAACGTATTTCAATGCATGTCCCTCAGAGACCTCATTTAGCTGGAATGGACTGAATGACCAAGTGGACACTTCCTTCATCAATTCTTGAATTTCCGGTGGAATTGGGCATTGAACAACTTGTTGTTTTCTAAACAATTTTTCGAAGAAAATTCCGGTTCGGATCGCGTTGGCGACCGATTTGAACTTTGGCTTGTCTCGCTTCTTTCCAGCGTTTTGGCGAGTGAACGTGGCGGCGAGCCACTCCCGAACTTCATCTGGTACGGTTTCTGGTGTCACCTCGGCCAGATCGTCGTCCTCATCACAAATCCGCCTACAAAAACTGAACAAGTTTTTAGTGTTGGGTCGTAAAAGACTGATTTTTGTTAGTTGAATATGTCAGTTGTATGCTGTACCGAAAAATCGGTACTAGGGGTCCCAGTGTAGAGTTGTGGAGAAGAGAAACGCCGGTGACCGTTGTCGGAGGTCCCACTTCGACAACTACAGTAACCTAAGAACTTAAAGAATATGTTTCTTGCTATGCTCAATCAAATGGCATCAGCTAGTTTTAATCATACTTGTAATCCGGGCCTTTGCCGGGCCTTCGCGGGCCCTGCCATAACTTCTTTCAGAATCAATGTTTTTCAAACCAACTAAATCAGGTATGATAGAGCTCCACGAGTACTACAAAACGGTATTATTTGGAATACTGTATCTTGTCTATGAACAGAGTTACGGAGCAAAAGGAACAAAAAAAACAGGCCCGGCCCGGGCCTGCCGGGCCCTGCGAGAAAAGCCACTTTATGACCTGTAACTTTGTTCATAGATAAGATACATTATTTCAAATAATACCGTTTTGTAGTACTCGTGGAGCTCCATCATACCTGATTTAGTTGGTTTGAAAATATTGTGTCAGAAAAAAAAACTATGGCGAGGCCCGCGTAGACCCGGCAAAGGCCCGGATTACAAGTATGGTTTTAATAAAAATGGCCACTTACTAGTTAGCCAGGAGCATCGAAAATAGGGGGTCGGCATATTGTATTTATGTGTGCCACGCGCTACTGTATAATAACTTTGAACAAATATTTCTCCTTTCGTGTAAAAGATACAAAAAAGATGTCAACTGAACAGTTGTTTATCAAAACATCTTAAACATTTTTTTAGTTGACCACTTTTTGATATCTCTTACAGGAGACAAGAAAAACTGGCCCAAAGTTAATGGTCCTAGTGCACTAGATGTTTTACGATGTCTTGCCAATTCGCCGGCTCATATCTCCCTTCAAACTCAATATTTTTGGACCAAATAAAATAGAGATTATAGACATTGACAAATACAACAAGATGAAATATTTGTCAAATATGTCTCTATTCTACGTAGAGAGTTACAGGTCGAAAAGTAGGCGTTGCACTGATAAGCGTGGGCAGCACCCACGAGTCGACTCTTTTCCGACGCATAACTCGGTTCAAAATTAAATTTTCTGTTTGAATCAAATTGTGAAATGTAGCACTTGACAAGATCATCAAATTGATATATAATTCCACTGGATTCAACATCTAAGTTTCGAACCACGGACCAAAGAAAGCCATGCAACCACTATCGGCGTTCTACGGCCTTGGCTTTGAAACTCAACATTCGAATATAGTCAAGTTTAGCATGATTTCGTAGATCTTGTCAAGTTTTACATTTTAATTTACAATGGGGGCAAAATTCCGGGTTGGATCCAAGTTATGAGCCAGACAGTGGTAGTTGTGGAGTACGGTAGGTTCCCGTCATCTTTCAGTCAATTTCTCAGGGTTACTGTAAGAGGTATCAAAAAACAAGCAACTAATAAAATATTTTTGAATTTACGATAAACATTTTATCAGTTGACAACTTTTTGATAACTCTCATTGGAACCGAGATAAAGTGACTCAAAGTTAAGCGATTAGTCAAGCACAAATTTTTGAAAAAATCGAAACTTGAACTTTCATATCTCCCAACTTATTAAAGCTATTGAAAAAGAAAACTGCAAATTACAAAAAAGTGTAGAATTTTACGCTCTACGTTTTGATATAACTTTCAGTCTGCTCTCTTAGTTTTTGAGCTACGCGCCTTTAAAGTGTAAGCACCCCTCGGAAGTGTCTCACATGTACACTTCAGAAGCGGTTGATTAACGCTAAACTTTTTTTTGATTGTGAGGTTTCAATGTTTGTAGTTTGTAGTTTGTATTTTAAGTAGTCTTTTCTCTTACGGTGTATTGCAGTTGTGCGTTTCTGACATTCTGTCTTAAAAGTCCCTACTCTTCCAATGTTTCAACTATTTCCTTCATTTCCTTTATCACAAATTCCCTACCCTTCCAACATCCTTCTCTCTATCCCCCCAAAAATGTCAGAATCCAAATAAATAATTCAAATTTCGCGCCCTCGACCACATCTTACCTCGTCTCGTCCATATATGCCGTCTCCAATACCAACGCAGCATATTCAATGTTTCGCTTCAAATCCTCAAGTGGCAATTGGCCGCTGTTGAGTTGGTGAAGAATGTAGCGGAGTCTGGAAAATTATAGTTTAGGGACTTTAAGATGCTGAAAATTGTGGGAAAGTTGAAAAAAAAATCATTTTTTAAATCCAATTTGGTATATTTTTGGAGTCTAGAATTTCTGGATTTGTCTGAAAGTTTCATATTTGCATTTGAAATTTATGAATAAAACTATTATTTTCAAGTTTATCATGACGAGAGCTTCAAAATAAGCCTAAACACGACGAATTTCGATAAAGATTGAGTTTCTTCTCACAGCCGCGACGCGACCGCAACGCGCAGGCTAAAATTTGGAAATCCTTCAAAAGTAGTCGTGTTTGGGCTCATTTTGAAGCGCACAACTAGCTGAAAACAGATATTCTGATGTTCAAATGTTCCGGACAGAAATAACTAGAATACGACCAAACTGGATGTTATTTAATTTTGAGGGAAAAATAGTAGAAGTTCCGGACAATATGAACTCAAATATTATAATACTCAACAAAATATTATAAAAATTTTGAGTTGAAAACAGTCAACTTTGAAAGGTTGTTCGGAATTTTCCGATTTGTTCCAAATTTGCTGAGTATACTAAACAA